GACAGCATCTTGGCTTATTGCAGCTTCTGCTTCCCAGGCTCAAGTGACACTCCTGTCTCAGCCACCCAAGTAACTGGGACTACAACTACATCACTATGCCCTGCTAATTTTTATATTTTTTTCTGTAGAGCTGTGGTTTCACTATATTGCCCAGCCTGGTCTCCTGAGCTCATGTGATCCTCCTGCCTTGGCCTCCCGAAGTGCTGGGTTACAGGTGTGAGCCACAAGGCCAGTCCACAATTCATTGTTGATAGCCTAAATTACTAATGTTTAAACCATAACGAGCATGGATAGTATTTATTTTTTTTATCCTATGTTATTTTTTTGAGACAGTCTTGCTTTGTCACCCAGGCTGGAGTACAGGGGCACAGTCTCTCCTCACTGCAACCCCTGCCTCCTGGGCTCAAGCGATTCTTGTGCCTTGAACTCCCAAGTAGCTGGGATTACAGCAGGCATGTGCCATGATGCCCGGCTAATTTTTTGTATTTTTAGTAGAGACAGGGTTTCACCATATTGGCCAAGCTGGTCTCGAAGTCCTGGTCTCAAATGATACACCTGCCTTGGCCTCCCAAAGTGCTCAGATTAAAGGCATGTGCCCAGACAAACATTGATAATATTTAAGTACTCATGTGACACATGAAAACATGCACAAAGTTAGTTGTCATTGTTAGTGCAATATTGTTTTTTGCGTGTGAGGTTTAAGCTTTGGAAAACTAAGACAAATTCATTGTAGACAAATCTCTTTTTGTTTGTTTGTTTTTTGAGATAGAGTTTCACTCTTGTTGCCCAGGCTGGAGTGCAATGGCGTGATCTCAGCTCACTGCAACCTCCACCTCCCAGGTTCAAGCAATTCTCCTGCCTCAGCTTCCCAAGTGGCTGGGATTACAGGTTCCCGCCACCACACCCAGATAATATTTGTGTTTTTAATAGAGATGGGGTTTCGTTATGTTGGCCAGGCTGATCTCGAACTCTTGACCTGAGGTGATCCACCCACCTCAGCCTCCCAAAGTGCTGG